CTAAATCAGAAACCTTGCATATATCATTAATGTATAGTATAAATAATTTAGGTCCCAAAACAGAACCCTGAGGCACTCCACATACAATGTCCAGCTCACTCAATTGGTATTCACCAAACTTCACAAATTGACGCCTCTGTGTCAAATAACTTCTAATCCAATTCAGAACCATTCCTCTGATCCCATATTTTTCTAACTTATTGTGTCAAATGCTTTTTTTAGGTCAATAAATATTCCCATCGTGTATTTCCTCTCATCCATAGCACTTGTAATGTCCTCCATTAGCTCAGTAATGGCCAGGGATGTCGATCGGTTCGACCTAAAACCATATTGGCAATCAGAGAGGATTTTATGTTTATCAATAAATGTGTCTAATCTGTTATTAAATAGTTTTCCCAAGATTTTTGAAAACTGTGACAACAGAGACACCGGTCTATAATTTGTGACGTTGTGCTTATCTCCAGATTTATACAATGGAATAACCTTTGCTATTTTCATATTATTGGGGAACTGACCAAGTCAAAACGACATGTTAAAAACATGAAATAATGGTTTGCATATCCCCTCAACATTTGGTCAACATTAATAATTAAGGAAGCAGCTACTATGTTCGTCAGTTTTAATTGTAACTGACTGGGGTCGGTTTAAATAAGCTTGACTTCTTCCCACTCCGTTTTGAGCAATTGATTAATTTATGTTGTTAATGTAAGGGATTATACCTTGTAGGGATTGAATGCTTTTATTGCCTTATTATGTCACTATTGCTCGAAATAAATAAATAAATAAAATGAAATTAACTAAACCTCTCCATCCCACCTCAGCATAAGCACATTATTCAATGGCAGGAAAATACCAAATACACCAATGCTCAAAAAGAAAAAAGTTGACATGTGCCTGAGGAAAATTGCAAAATGACAGCAAATGAGGCAATGTAGAAACTGGCAGGAAAATAGAGCCCAAAGTGTTTTGTTAGATAATCTCTGCAGCAGGTGTTCTTGTTCTTGTGCCACATTGAAGTGCAAATGACCAAGAGTCTTTTAAAAATATTTGTAAGAGATGGATTCTGCAGCTGAACTATAGATATGTTCTACAATGGGGCAAGGGAGGTGAACAATGTTGCTGTGTTGAACTATCACAGAAACCTCTCCAGGGACTTTAAATCTGGATGATGTTGCTGAAATATTCATCAAAACCATAACCTGCAGGGGTTTGCATATCCCCTCAACATTTGGTCAACATTAATAATTAAGGAAGCAGCTACTATGTTCGTCAGTTTTAATTGTAACTGACTGGGGTCGGTTTAAATAAGCTTGACTTCTTCCCACTCCGTTTTGAGCAATTGATTAATTTATGTTGTTAATGTAAGGGATTATACCTTGTAGGGATTGAATGCTTTTATTGCCTTGTTATATGTCACTATTGCTCGAAATAAATAAATAAATAAAATGAAATTAACTAAACCTCTCCATCCCACCTCAGCATAAGCACATTATTCAATGGCAGGAAAATACCAAATACACCAATGCTCAAAAAAAAAAAGAAAAAAGTTGACATGTGCCTGAGGAAAATTGCAAAATGACAGCAAATGAGGCAATGTAGAAACTGGCAGGAAAATAGAGCCCAAAGTGTTTTGTTAGATAATCTCTGCAGCAGGTGTTCTTGTTCTTGTGCCACATTGAAGTGCAAATGACCAAGAGTCTTTTAAAAATATTTGTAAGAGATGGATTCTGCAGCTGAACTATAGATATGTTCTACAATGGGGCAAGGGAGGTGAACAATGTTGCTGTGTTGAACTATCACAGAAACCTCTCCAGGGACTTTAAATCTGGATGATGTTGCTGAAATATTCATCAAAACCACAACCTGCAGGAGAACCACTTTCATGCTGAGTGATATATTGTTGTTGGTGAGTGTGTTAAAATGCAAGCTAAATTTGCTATTAGCCATATAATTTAGGTTAATTGTATTGCTCTGTTGCTCGCTGAAGTCACCGCTTGCACAGGCTACCAGATTATGCGTACATGATGACCATGAGTGTAAGGCTGTTTGCGAATTTGTTGTGTTGACATGAATCTTTTGATATTCATTTTACTTGCTTGATATTAGATGGAATATTTGGTAATCAGTTTTATTATTTGTAGAGTAGTGACCTTTGGTTAGAGTGACATCAATATTACAGTTTGATACATTGGTCTTTGTACAATTTAAAATATTTGTTTTCATAGCCTTACATTTCAGGCACCCACCTGGAAAATTTTAATCATTGCCTATGTATACAATCATTGCTTTTTTGTAGGATTTGTTGACAATAATAAAACAAAATATCAGGAAGAATATTCTTTAATTTGACTTGTTAGGAAGTCAGAAAGCTCAGTCAAATATTATTTTTATATTTTCCTTTTTCTGTTTTCTCTTGATCATGATCCAAGTCCTTTCATATTGACCCCCACTGCCATTACCACTGTAACATAAATCAAGCAACCTGTACTGACTGTGGCAACTGTTAAGGCCTTCACAGCATGTGGAGCAATTACAAACAAGATGCCCCTAAGAAAGGTTTGCAATCTCCAGCTGCTCCTGTGGAGAACTTGGCTACAACCAATAATGCTCAGTTCAGGTTCACAACAGTGGAATTGTTCTTGTCAGCGATTGTAGGGGGAAACTGTGATTTCTGGGTTTGTTCCTGAGATTCTGGATTAATTCTGCTGTTCAAATGACATGAACTGTATAGTAATACATATTGAACTGATTTGATGTGCTGCTGTAGTGGCAGATTGTTACAGTACCTCCCTTATCATGTTGTGCTTTTTGTATTTTTTGTGGTAATTCACTATCTTCGGTCTTTAGACCCTTGTTGCTTGCCTTTTTAATCCTAGTATGGATACCATGCATTTTGTCATGGTTTTCGTAGTATTTTTTATTTCTTTTGTGCCAAGAAGTCAGGTCAACGGGCATGACAGTAGGCCTGCTATTGTTTATTTACACGATCAGCTCTCATCTCGCTTGGAACAAAGCCACACATTCCAAGTCAAACCAAGGGAAAGGAAAAAAAATACTATACAAATCCTTTCTCCTTTCTATCATTGTGAGAAATGGGAGGTCCGTGGTGAATAAAATGGATGAAATGAGTGTGCTGACTAAGACCCAGCGGGAATTCTACATCACCTGTTGGACACGTGTTTGGATATAACTTAGTCTCAATTGTATATTAATAATGATACCAAAAACCTGTGGTACAATATTGCCACAATAAAAAGTCCATGATATGAAATATGATATTTGTCACAATATAAAAAAATGAAGACAAAATATGAAAAAATTGCCCTTACTGAATAACAAGTTTTTTAAATTGTATATAAATGTATATAAAAGATAATGCAGCAGTCAGTAGTAGTTGTTTTATGAAATAAAATAATATTATTGCAGCAGCTGGATCTTCCAGTCATCCTCACAGTGGAACATCAGTGTTTTAGTGCCCCCTTGGCAGGTTTAACGTTCTGTCTGGTGGATGTGCCAAATAGTTTTGGGGGCAGTAGTGAGCAAATTGCTGCTTGGGACACCAGAACCAGGAGAAGACAATGAAATACACTAGGACAGGCCACATAAATCCGCTGTGATTGTAATTATATTAGCAAAATAACCACATGTAATATCCCAGTAGATACTATCACAGTCCGACGATATTATGGAGAAATTTGTCTATCACGATACTGTGAAATTACAAATATTGTTACATCCCTTCAAATAACTAAATTAATTCCAGCATTCCTCATTTGTTCTCTCATTGTTTCTGTTCATTTGTGGCTGTAACAACTTAATTTCCCTGCAGTGACTAATCATCTATCTGCCTGCTTGCCTGTTTGTCGATGTTAGCATATACTATATGGTACATGAACCTATACTAAGCAAGAATGATGTGCAAAGATGAGAAAACTGAACAAGGACACATTTTCAAAACCCGGTAAATAATTAAGACAAGAAAAGTTTAGGGAAA